TTGCCTAAGTAGATAGCTTGTGGGAGATTCAGGGAGCTTGTGGGAGATTCAGGGAGGATGAGAGCGGGAGGAGAAGAGTGGCACTTGGGCATCTCGCAGGGCTACTTTACTCCTGATCCGGGAAATCAGGGAAAGGCCCCGAACCAGTCCTTAACGGATCCGGGTTGAGACCCCTATATCTCAAAATCAGCCCGTAAGAAAAACGGGCTTCCCTCGAAACCAACCCTTTGAAATGCCGAAGCTGGCTGGGAGTTCGCCCGGAATGTTCAGGGCATTAAGGAAAAATGCCCTTGAATCGACAGCCTCATGACCAGAATGGATTACTTTGTAGCAGGAACGAGAAGGAAACCAGCCCAGACCCACCGCACTTGAAGTTCGGGGGACTCGTAGTTTTGTTACTTGTAAGGCGCTCTTTAGAGCCCGCATTCCTTGTGTGCAACGCCGTGATTGGCGTTCTTGGATCAACTATCACTCCACAAGACAGTCAGCAGCTAGCGAAATGTCGCAATCTTGCGTCATATCCCATGTCCAACCTGGTACATTTTTTAAGCTTACGACCTCTTATCATAGTCGCAGGCGTCCTACATTTCAAGCGATTAATTCCTTCGACCCACGAATTCCTTGTCGACGACCTCATTCCCCGTCAGGATCGCTACGCCAGTGTCTCAGCCATTCGTTCTCAAATCATACGAACGATCTATTTCATGGACGTCGAAGTCCCTCTAGTGCATTGTCACAGCGCTCACAGTCACACCGTTCGATGCGTCCTGAATCCCACCGTCATCGGACGGCTACACGAGCGTCGTCTACCAGCGGGAATGCTGGTCTAGATCCATCCGTTGAGCACAGCACCATGGTGAATGAGGAGCTGCTGCTCTTCTTCTACCAACTCGATCTGAATACCAGGCTTCAGGTGAGGGGAATTTTCGTTGTTTTATTTCATCAATAGAATTCTCACTTGCTAGCAGCATCACGCTAGAAAAGCAGTCTGCAATGTCGATTTTGCTTGACCAATGTCAATTTTTCACCTGGAAAGAGAATTTTCGATCCTCCTTACTCGTTCCGCAGAAAGCGCTCAACTTGGACCAGTACGAACCTGCTCAACTACTCCGGGAAAAGATTGCGGAGGTAAGACAAATCATGTGGTTCGACTTCTGACTAGTGCTGCTGAAGGTCGCGTATCGTTCTCGCCGAATCCGACTCTTACTCTCGGCCGCCTTTACTCTGATTATCTTGCTGTGGCAGCTTGATCGTGAAATCGCTCGACAGAGAGAAGCAAAGATGGGCACCTCATCCAAAGAAGCAGCTCAAGACAAGGGCTTAGCCTTGTTACGTCTCAAGTAAGAACATTTATCACGAACTTCGTACACCGATTCATCTGTAACATTATCTTGTGCGTTGATGACTATGTCTGCTCCATGATTTCTCTGATTGTTGTCTAATTTAATAGATTATGTGGATCTGGATCCTGGATGCTACTGACAGGGCAGGGCTGCAGCGAGCAGTGGAGCAGGAGCTGTACGAGGAAGCAGCTGAGATCAGAAAGAAAATGAGCCAACTAGAGGTGTGTCCTTTGGTTGCAAAAGTTGTGTCTTCGCAGCAGTGGACCAATTGGGGTGTCAGGAAAGGTCACTGTTTCATTATCTAGCACTAGTTACGCCAAACTATCAAACTTCTGATTTTGTTGTGCTCGCTATTTTCCAGGGTGACACTCTGGCAGCTTCTGCTGCAGCGTTGGCTATGGGCAATGTCACTTACAAGCTCCGGCTAGGGCAGAAAGTTACTCACAAAGAATTTGGTGAGTCTTTGTTAAAAAAAGTGTTTGGTTTGTGTCATTATCTCGACTGTGAATCCCTGGCCAAATTGCTCCCAGTGCTTTCTGCTCTGTTGTGCCTGGATCCAGTCCCTGCTCTGTTAGCCCATCATGTTCTTTCCGCGTCCTTAACTGTTCTCCCAGGCTATCGAGGCATCGTGGCGGGGATGGACCCCATGTGCTGTGAGACGGAGGAGTGGATGTCGGGAGCTAAGATTAGCCGACTTGCGCGGGGTTTGAACCAGCCCTTCTACCAGGTTCGTCTGGACGGTCATGTGTAGTGATGCAACTGCCACCTCGCTCCAGCTTTATATGGCTTGAATCGATCTGTCTGTTGTTCATGTCAGCAGAATGGCTATTAGCCTCATTGCCCTATTTTATCCCCATTTTGCAGATCTTACTTGACTTGGGAAATGGAGCTAGGTTTCCGGTTGCATATGGTGCGTGGGTTTTTTGGTTCTTGGCCAACTCGTGATTGCAGCCTCAATATTCTGTGCTCTAACAGGCGCATCACATAACAAAATACCTTTGTTGGGCTGTTTGGCTGGCAGTTGCAGAGGACCTGCTTGAAGTCCCTGAGGAGCCCGATAAGGTACCTTGTTCCACCCACTCCCTCTCCCTATTAACCTCGGGTCTGTCGTCGTTCCATGCTCTGTTCTGATCTTTCTGCTAACATCCTCATGCCATCCCTTCTCCCTGCAGGAGCAAATGATCCACCCATACCTGTATCTTTTATTTTATGGAGCTGACTCTCGAGGTGACTTCATTCCTTGCAAGCCTCTTCGGGACAAGTACAATGCCCCTCGTCATGAGGTCCCACTTGAAGATGAGACCGACGCTGACAATTTGTGATGTAGTCCACTCCATGTGTGCACCAGTGACAACCATAGCCATCCAGAACACACTTGTTTCAGGTGGATAACAAGTAACGTTTCCACTCATGTGCTCATTGTCCACTGGGGTTACCAGTATGTGAACTAACATATGTACATACATGCAAATACTCAATGTTTATACGTACTCAGCTCACTGGTCAGATAAAAAAATTCAGCATTAGCAGTTTTCAGAAAGTATTCATCTGGCCTCCAAATTCATCTTGACGGTATTCGTGCTGTGCAATCAGCAACAGTTGTGAGTAAATTCACAAGGACAATACTGTTAAATAAATGGGGATATACACAGTTCATGTACAACTTGGAAGACACAAAATGGACCGCAAGGCCTTTCAGGCCATTGCCTATACACTGCCCCATCTAAATGGTGGCTGGAAGCACAGTACGACATGTACAACCCACGAGGTAGGTAGTGTCCAGCATAGTGAGACCATTCGCAACGTATCCACAACAATCTCTATTAACATTGGGCACCAACCGCCTTCGCGTGAGCCCATACGCGATCCACCAACTGCTGGAAATTAAGGCCAGAAGCCAACCATCTTTGGATGCAGGATCGCGTACGAGGTGAGACAAGATACGAGACCACTTCAAGCTGAAACCCACCACGAGTCGCCAAGCATGTTACGCCGAGCAGTATCAATGCGGCAGGACATAGATTTCACGGTGGATTGAAACCCGTGGCCCTCGTTGGATAACGAAGATGATCCGTCAGCGAGACTCCGTCTCATCAAGGACGACACCTGCTGCGATGAAGCCGTCGATTCCGAAAGACTGCGGTTGCTCATGTGAACAAAGATCATGGTGACGTCTTGTGTCTCCGCCATGATTGTGAAGTTAGCGTGAAAAAGGGTGACGCTTAGGAAGGATGACCTCGCAAAACGGGCGAATCGAGCAAAACGACGTTGAAGACGGTGAGCAGCAAAAGGTGACGGCTTCTGAGCGGACGAAGATATGAGAAGTTAGATGATCAGTGGGCTATGCTTCACATCAGTTTAGGTTCAATATGTAATGGAGTGGAGCGTGCACAGAACGGTAGGTACAATATTTTCAGGTGCTTTGGTTGAACAACAGGGGTGTGCGTGCGTGTTCGAGACTCGTTGTGAGGGGTGAGGTTTGGCGGAGAACGAAGGGGAAGGAAACGTGTAAACGGTGGGATGTGTGGGGACCACCGCCGATGGGACCACGCGGAATCTCCGCGAGTTCATGCGCTGTTTGGGGTGGGGGTTGGCTCAATCTGCCACGCCATCGTACCGCGTCGATGTCGATGACGAGTAGCCGAGTGGAAAGAAGGGAAATGGAAGGCTGTGGGTGCTGCTGACGGCAGGATCAGGCTGGACACTTCCACGTCAGTGCAGCTGAACTCGATGAGGGACATTTGACAGCTCAAAAAGCTGTACATTTGACATACAAGTACTGTGGTTGATCGAATTTATGCTGGGTCTGAAATGGTCGCTCGGAAGCCAGCAGTGTGCCACGTATGGGCCCGAAGCTGGCGCGGGTGGTGGAGACAGTGCAGGTCTGATTTGAAAACGTGCTGGTGGGCCAACAATACATTCGGATTCAGGGGGAGGAACCTGGTCACTGGAGGTGAAAACCGCGACATTGTAAGTTCCGATTGCGGGTGTCTGCATGCAACAGTCTGATGTTCCGTTACATAATTATTTCCCTAAATGGTGCACTTGGTACTAGCAAACCCGTATGAAGATGCCACACATTTTTGCCACCTCATTCACATCAGATCAGGAGTAGGTTCGACTAGCTATGACACCGCCGCGACGTCGCTCATCATTGCTCTAGGTAGCATCAGATGTCGGGGAACTGCCTGCATGCCGTTTGCGAAGTATCATGACGATTGCCAGTAGACTAGTATCGAGATTCGGTTCGATCAGCTGGCATCCCGACCTAGTACAGTAAGTGAGTGTGAAGATTGGACAGCATCATCGATTTCTGGTGAAAGTATGTTATTTCAAACAGATAGTGTCATGAAAGGACAGAGGTCATGACGGTATCATAACTTTTAATTATTCTTTACACGTCGCCAGCTCTCAATAGAGGCTCCTCAGCTGTGCGACGTTTTGCGTCCCTCTCACGCTATCCATATCCGGGCAGCAACAACTGTCTCACAGGATCCCAAACCGGAGCACCATGATTTTAGCATGATCCTAGC